AGGAGCCCCTGGGGTACAACCAAATGTGCTGAGTGCCAGGACAGATACTACAAATTCCTTCATTATCATGTTAATTGATCCTGCACCCACCTAAGTATGTGTTCATCATTTTACTTTTTATCCAATCCCAGGGGTTTCCCCTGCTTTGCTTTATCCCTCCTCCTTAATCACCAATGAATTTCATGTAACCCACCTAGGTCCCTCCTTGACTGCAAATGTATAAATACAGATGTAACCCCTCCATTCTCCGGAGCATTATCTCAATTCATTGAGGTTCTGCTTCCTGGCATATGTTGACAGTTTGGCTCAAATAAACTCACAAAAATTCTTTACAGGTTTCAATGGTTTTTTTACGTTAACACTGTACTATTTGCGAGAATTAAAATCAGGTTAATCTAGGACAGTGATGGCAAATCTTTTGAGCTGTGTCACATATAGAAATTTTAACTCTGGTGCCGTGTCACATATAGAAATTTTTTGGTATTTGCAACCATAGTAAAACAAAGATTTATATTTTTGATATTTATTTTATATATTTAAATGCCATTTAACAAAGAAAAATCAACCAAAAAAATGAGTTCGCGTGTCACCTCTGACACGTGTGTCATAGGTTCGCCATCACTGACCTAGGAGATGGGAAATGAACACATTAAGATACTTTAGTTTTACTACTGAGGTCAGAAAGGAAGTCACATTGTCTGGCCAGGGATGGGGTCAGAGATGCATTACCTGTTATTGGTTTTTAAGTAGATCATAGCCAAAGCAAGAGTGGCACCAGGACAAGTTACATCCACATTTATGGTATCTCCTTCCTATCAAAAGAAAAGATTATTCACATAAGAGTTATGAATTATTATAAAAATCTTCTGAATACTAGCCTATGCTTAAAATTAACATATTTGTAAAGGTTGGTATAAAAACTATTTTCAAATTATTGCTCTAGCCCTAGCCGGTTTGGCTTGGTAGATAGAGCGTCGGCCTGTGGACTGAAGGGTCCCAGGTTCGATTCCAGTCAAAGGGCACATGCCCGGGTTCTGGGCTCAGTCCCCAGTGGAGGGCATGCAGGAGGCAGCCAATCAATGATTCTCTCTCATTATTGATGTTTCTATCTCTCTCTCCCTCTTCCTTCCTCTCTGAAATCAATA